CTCAATTTAAAATTGAATTCAATTCGAATATTGAAGAGAGATGAGTGAAAAATTCGAATTAGATTAGATAAATTACATAAATTAAAATGGAAAAATAGAAATAGAATTTGAGAGAAATAGGTGAAATAAAAAATCTACTCACTCTCATTAACTCCCATATCCATGAGTGCAAAGTCTTCTTCAGTGAGAAGTGATGAGAAAAGTGTCTCTGAGGATTGATTCATGGAGTCTGTCGGTGGTGCTTGATAATACATCATGTCACTGGGTTCGGTTTTGTATGCCCCATTGTTCTCAGGGCCCATGGGTTCACTGCTGTTGGTGAGGTTCATCGATGTGGCAACAGCTGATCCAAAATTCGATGGCCCACCTGATTCGTCGAGGAATTTAGTTGTCTAGGATTGATTTAATTTATTCATATAGTTTATTTATCCTTACCAACGTGGTGATACGGTCCAGTGGAGTTGAGATCACCAACTGGTGGTGCGAGGGTTGCATTGTGGAGCAGAACATTACGTTGGGCGTCGTAATGGCTGTGATGACTTATTCCATGGCCAGGGTAGGGGTGTCCAGGGTGGGTGAAGTGCTCTGGAGTTGAGAGGAATGACGACAGGTCTGGCCACCTCTGGTCCATACTCATGGTCCGCATAAATGGCACACGTCCCTGGAAAAATCATTGACATTCGATCGATTTTCTTACGAAACACAATCATTCGGCTGAATTATCGTTAATATCTCGCGATTCGTGGGAGATACGCGATTTTTTGATAAGACCGTTTTGGAAGAACTGAATGAGACCTCGAAAAAAGTTTCTACAAATTTTTTTTCTATTTGGCTTGAGTTCTGAGTTATTTGCATTATTCAAATTCTTGTGATTCTACAATAAACAATTATTGTTCTTGCGGTTTATGGGAAATATCTCGCGATTTATGGGAGATTCGCGATTTTTTTATAGGATCTTTTTGGAAGAGGTGGATGAGACCTCCCAAAAAGGATCTATACGTTTTTTTTCTATCTGCCTTCAGTTCTGAGATATTTCATTTCGAAATACGATTTTCAGTTTTTCGATAATGTATCGATATTTTCTTGCTTTGAGGGAGTAATTGTTGGATAACGGTGGGTTTTGCAGGCAAATGGTGTGTGGAGGGAGAAGTTTATCGTTTTGATTGATTTTTACATAACGAACGAGTTATGTGTGAGCCATTGTGTCTGTCAGGTGTCAACTAGACAGGCACGAGACCCCCCGTTGCATGTGTGGGTGTAGGCGAGTTTAAAAAAGCTATAGAAATAGTCAGGGTCCCCAATATTATTAATAGTCTTCGGGAATCTACCTGTCGGGATTAGAGTCATCAATCACCCTTAGACGAGAGATTTCCAATCATTCAATCCATATGTGTTTAATGTCTGAGTAATAATCCTGGGAAAAACTTCGGGGGAAAAAATTATTCGAGTCCCTCCCAAAAAATTTACTCTTACAATTATTGAAAAAATACTTTTACAACTTTTTAAGACGAGCTGTCAAGAGTTATCAATTATTTTAATTATTTTAGGTAGTAATTATTAATTCGTGAGAATTAAAAAATAGAAAATAGTGGGAATTATTGTCTTTGCCGTTGAGTATTTATATCCGAGTTTTTTTTGTTGCCTGAAGTGTTTAAATCATCGAGATTTATTTCTTCTGTCAGTAATGCTCTATTAACTCAGTAAATATTTACAGTTATTACGATTATAAATAAAGTGTAAAACGGTTTATCTGGATTTTTCGCGGAGTTTTCGGTGAATATCTCGGAATCTAGGGCTGACATCGAAATTTTCGTAATGACCTTTTTCTTCCCGCTCATTTAGAGCTATAAAAAAGGTTCAGTAAAAAATATTGGTATTTCCCCCAGATCCGGAGTTATTCCTCAAAAACCGCAAAAACTGTTTAGAATAAATTTCCCCCATTCGCAGATGAATATCTCCAAATCCAGGGCGACAACAAAAATTTTCATAATGACCTTTTTTCCACCGCTGACGAAGAGCTACAAAAAAGGTTCAGTAAAAAAAAACGGTATGTCTATCAGCTCCAGAGTTATTCCCGAAAAACCGTAAAAAAAAGAGGCAAATTGCAACTGATTTAATCTCCAGAGTGTAAGTGCGGTAGGCTGTCTGTTCTTGGCAGTGACTCTAATGCCCGACGGTATATAAAACCCTCAGAAGATGAATAGGTAAAGGCTGGCGAGTTGCTGGATTGTCGGGTGCATCAATCAGTGGCTGTGCAATCTGCTGTGCGACGCCTTTACGACATGAGAATTTCGCTTGTCAGCGCATCTGCTGCACCATGAAAATGTAGGCCGATGTGTTGCCATCGTTCTCCATAATTTTTCAGCTTGTGCTGTCACTAATGCACCAAGATCCTGAGTAAAACGTTTGAATTTCCGGTAAAATGCAACGAGGTCATCGTAATTCGCTATTGAATTCGATGTCTTCTCTTTATTTTCCCCTGAGGATTTGTCCGGCATTAATTTGATGACGGAGATTCAGGGATATTTGTGCCAGAGATGTGATTTATGCGTGAGTGTAAAATCTAGGATGATAATGGAGAGTTGGAATCGTGAAACCGAGGAAGGATATCGGACGCTAGGTGCCAGATGGCTGAGGAGAGCTGTCGAGGACCTTCTAGGCCACTTCCAAGAGACCCGTTTCCTTCTGCTGATGGTGCTGGGGTGGTCCTGGAGACCCCAGAACGGGAATTAAATGATGGCACATCACCGTTATCTGTCAGGGGTTTTGTTTGTCGCTCGTCGGGGCCTCAGCCACATCTTCAGCAGTTGAAATCAATTTTGTTTCAAGGGGGACACGATTTTTGTCGTTTATCTCGGTAAATGTCCACTTCCGGG